CTTAGGTGGACACCCACCCAGTAATAGTGACTATACTGATAACAAGGATTAGACTAGAATCCTCTTATATTCCTATAAAACCACTATTACAGGGCGGGGGAACCCTAAACCCTAACCCTAAAGTGTATCATTTTACTATTGTACTGGTATGCTTTGGAGCGCTCTCTTCGAGACCCGCTGAGGCCCTCGCGAGCTGCCCTCGAAGAACGTGAAGTGGCGCGGGATGCCATCCTGGCTGTTTACCGTACAGGGTTTTAAGGTTTAGGGCTTAGGATTTTAGGGTTTAGGCGGGTTTCGGGTTTAGGACTTTGGGGTTGACGGTTTTAGGGTTCAGGCTTCAGTTTGCTAGTAATCTCCTCCCCCCGGGTAGTATAGTAGGAGTCATATAGGGGTGTATATATCTATATATATATATGTACAAATACATACACATTACAATTTATCAGAATCCCCTCCCTGAATAAAGCCCCTCTGAAAGTAGACATTCTGCCTAGTACATGCTCTTACTGTTCAGGATGTTTGTCATCAGAGGGTGGGAGGCCTGATACGGGGAGGTGATTAAATCATGGTGTGCAGCGATCTGGCTTGAAGCCCTATAATACTCCCCTATATAATCCCCTACATAACCCCCTTGAGGGAGTTTAGACTATAGCTCACATGGGCACCCTCATGACAACCCAGACCCCCTAAAAGATCCAAAAAATGCAACCCCTTAACCATCCCCTAGGTTGCCCAACGTAGTAATGGAGCCCTTTTGGGGGGTTTCCATTCTTTGAATCCTTTAGGGGGTCTGGGAAAGGGAGGCTGCAAAAGGAGACAAGCTACAAACTCTCTGGGCTCCTGTTAAGATGGGGTAAAAGGGCTCAGGGTTTAGGGGCTTAGGGTGACCCATGAAAATGCTTTATATGGTAGCCATACTGGTTCATAACGTACCCAATATACAAATATCTAGATACACACGTTGAGAGCATAAACGAATAAATATGCGTATAGGGTTTACTGTAGGATTCAGGGGAGGAAAGAAAAGATTAGGACCTGTTTCTGTCCGTGAAGCATGGACAACCTGCATGCACTAGCTTCTGCCCAAATACGTAGTAGCGTGGGTACTGGCCAAAGGCGCTTAGGACTGATCCAGTGGCTATATGCAGGTGTCATGCGCATATCATCTAACTGCAACTGAGTGGGGGCAGGACCTGAACTATATCTTATTATGCGACAGTTTTGGGCATGAAGAGGTTGGCTGCATATTAAAGCGACACCTATGGGAGATTGCACTTCTAAGGCATACTTGTGAAACCACGTAGGCTGCTGCCAAAACTAATACAATTACGGAAATTACTGATACTAGTTGGCCGTACTGGTATCTCTAGTAACCCCGTCCCCTTATATTAACCCCCCCCAAACCGCCCCAATATTAAATACTCCCGATATAGTCTAATATACCACAATGGGGAACATTTCAGACTAGGGGGGTTGGGGGTGGGTTAATACCAGTCCTAAACCCTGAACCCTAATAATAACCCCTGTATACTCCTTTGAGGGGATGAAAAATCATGGTGCTCCTCGTCTGGAAAGCCTCGCTGTTAACCTAACCTCTTAGTTCCTGTAATGCCTAAGGGCTGTAGTTTAGGGTTTAGGGTTTTGTAGCCCAATCCTCAAGGCCTAAGTCCTGCACCTTTCTCCGAGCTACGTCCATCTTGAATACACAGCACCAGGACCCCTACTCTTGCCTTGTTCCACATTATACTATTGTACTATTTTGCCATTCTACTCTTAGGCTAAGGGTTCGAGGTCTCCCTTTTCGGGTTCCCTCTGCAGACCCGCCCTATCTCAGGCGCTTGCTATAGGGACACCCAACCCCAGCAATCCACGCATACTGCCATATCTTATTGGGGGTTACTCGGGAGGGATCATATTCCCTTAGTCCTTACTAGGAACACGATACATCCCTGTCTAACTCCTACCAACCAGGGGCCCTAACTTGGGCTTTGGTTGAAGCGGTGCCTTGCCTCAGGTGCTTGGAAAGGCAGCGCACCGAACTTGCAGTGGACGATTGCCTTCGGCTTTCATACCAAGTAAAACCCTACATCACGAAAACAGCGACAAAGGGTTTCCAAAAATGTGTGGCCGCGATAGGAAGCCTAGTATACTGTAGGGGGCTACTGCAAAGGGCCCCCGACTTTTTGGAGTTTCGGACCCGCCCCCAAAATGTTTGACTCGTCTCGTATACTCTAGGAGGACCTCCCCACCCTGTAAGCAGTATACGAGGAATATAAGAGAACCCTAATATACTCACTTTTAGTCAGTATTACAGGGTGGGGGTCCACCCCCTACCCTAAAACCTTTAAATCCTAACCTAATATAATCAGTGTTACTGGATGGGGGGTCCACCTAAGGTATACCAGAGCGGTCCGGACCACCGCTGCGACCCTTGATACGAAAAGTCCTACCGTGCTGTACTATAATAGGGTTTAGGGTTTAGGGACGTTAATTCCCCTAAACCAAGGACCCTAAACCCTGAGAGGGCCCTGAAGCTTAAACCCTACACTTAAAAACCCTTAACCCCCAAACCCTAGACCCCAAACCCTACACCATGATACACTCGGGGCGCTGCGGAATCTGTGAGAACCACAGCGCTGCAACCCTGGCGGAGCACGAAGTTTTAGGGGCATCCAAAAGCTAAAAACAAGGATATAGGGTTTAGGGTTTAAGATTTTAGGGTTTCAGCGTTATGGTTCAGGGTTTTTACTTTTCCTCAGAGGACTGTCACGTCTGCATGAGGCAGTGGTTCCCAACAAAAGACTCAGTCGTGAGTCTAGGGTTCAGGGTTTATCAGGGCTTAAGGTTAGGGACTGTCCCAATATTATGTTGGAAAATCAAATGGAACGGAATATGCAGATGAGATGGACACAGGGATTTTCTAGTTGTTTGTGAGGATAGGGTTCGGTACATTAACGGCCCCTTGTTGGGGGATCCATTGTTGGATAAGAAAATTTTGGGGTTCCCTTATATTCAGGAAGCTACCATCTATCAAGTAGCCTAAACCCTGTTGGGAACGGCTGAGGGGCCCAAATTCTTCGATCCATTTTTGCGCAGGTTCAGGCTTTTAGGGTAAATCAGAAAAATGAACATGATTCGATGAATAAGGCAGACGCTGCTAGTCATGCTCCCCTAAACCCTAAACCCTAATTCTGCATCCTAGCCCACTGGACTCCCGGCCAGTTATCATCACTAGCTCAACTGAGATCTTCATGCAGGATTTTTTGTACCAGGGTTTAGGGTTTAGGGTTCAGCCCTATCACCATTTTCTTCTGCATTTGACTCAACACTGTTGGCGTAATGTACCCCAAGTAGTACCCTCCATTTTCTTCCCATTAAACCCATATACAATATCCCCTAAACCCTCGATGTACGACCTTGACTCAAACTAGGCAGATTGGATGGCAGCAGCATGCGATGCAGACTTTTGCTGTGGTTTGGCCACCGAGTGGAGGTTTCAGGGTTTGAATGCAGATTCTCTGCAAGGCGGATGTTGCAAGATTTTGAGGCTGTCCCATGCAGGGCGAAGTTGAAGTGGCATAGGCCTCATGGCTCCTATCAGCAACCTTAAAGCTCACTTTACCAGCTCCCTTAGATTGACATCCTGTGCTGGCTTCAATGAACAGCCGTGTCCTATGCCACTTCTGGCCCTGCCCCCTCATGAGCTATAGTCTAAACTCCCAGTATCCCACTTAATAAGCCCTACTACAGTAATCCCCTATAGAATCCATATATAACCCCCCTTTAAGGAGTTTAGACCATGGGTCACATCACGACGTCTCAGCATGAGCCTTCGGCTGAAAAAGAATCAAGAGCAAAGCCCTGGCGGGCTCGGACGTCGATGCAAACGAGGCGTGCCCAAGAAGTCCTGAAAGCCCCAACGCATCACCACCACTACTATTACTACTACCACCATTAACCCTAAACCCTAAACCCTAGACCCTGAACCCTAAGTAAGGCTTCAGGTTCAGAATTCAAAGCCTCCTGCTGACTGCACCTTAACAGGCCAGGTTCAGGTTGTTTTTTTTTGTTGTTTGTCGCAGTCTTGTTCATGTAGGGGGTTTAGGGTTTAGGGCGTAGGGTTTATGATACCTTCATGTTTAGGATTTAGGGCTCATGATCCCTTCATGTTTAGGGTTTAGGGCTCATGATCCCTTAACATTTAGGGCTTAGGGTTCATGATCCTGTCGAATTCCTATTGTTAATACTAGAAATCCTGCAGGACCTTAAGCTTGTATGTTAGCATAATTCCCGGTATTAGGTTCTAAGGGTCATGCAGGATCTTTAATATCCACCGTAGGGTCAACGAAGGCACCCCGTTTTGAGAACCTGGAGCCCTAAGTCCTACACCCTAACCTCTGTGCCCTCTATATATATATATATGTATATATATATGCAATATATGTCTCCTACATGCCCATGGGCTTGTTGATTTTGGCGGTACTTCTAAAAACGCCACTGTTAGCTTTCTGACTTCCAGAGGCCAGCTTCCATCAGCATAGCTCCGCCAAGGGCGACAGTGATTAGTGCGAAGCACGACTTCGATGCGGCTGCAGATCGGGTCCCGACGGACAGGACATGTAGCAATCATCGTCATTACTACTGTTATTATTAGAGGACTCAGGGAGGCTGTCAGTACTAGGGATTCTTTGAAGGCTGGTGGAGTCGGGCTAACACCGCCAGGTTGTTGGCACTCACTGCGCTAACACCCTAAACCCTTATTTTGTTGGTTTGAGATCTGCCTGCCTTGGCATGCGTTAGCATGCTTGAGCAGGTGCATGAATAGCCCTGGGGCTTGTCACTTTCAAGCCTGGAAAACACCGCATGAGGTGATGAGGACAGACCGAACACATGCTAATTCAGCCTTCTGTACAAAGCAGCCCTCCGAAAGAGCCTGGGTGGAGGGCAGTTTTGCCCTCCCTACACTAGTTCTTTTGGGCAAAAGGGCCTCAAAAGGGCACTTACTCCACGGGCATCACTTCACCTTGAAATTGCTGAGGTACCAACGCCAAAAAAAGACATGATCATTCTGCGTTGGGCTCATATAAAAACACATACGCACGTACATGTAGGGGTATATGTGGTAGCTTCCATAATAAAGTGGACCCCAATATAGAACCCCCAATACTAGAATCCTTCTTCCAGGGACCCCCCAAGGTAACCCTAATCTTGGGAAACTCCCATGCATGTTTTTTTTCCAAAATGCTATTCCCTAAACCCTAAACTATTCTACAACAACCCAGCCACCACACCGCCAGCAGAAGGCAGCATCTTTGCGGTGGGGCGATGCCTTGCAGTTGGGACATTGACGGTCCGAGCTATCCTTGGCTCCCACTTTGAGCAAGCTGCTGTTTACTTACTGGTGCTAAATGGTTTAGGGTTTAGGGTTTAAACCCTAAAGCCTAAACCGCAGGGGCAGCCTGGGAGTTAATGTAGGAACAATTTTAGGGATGTATATGAGGACTATATAGAAAGTGCTCTAAGGAACCACTTCTGCAATCTCCCTTAAGCACCAGTACGTCTGAGTCTTAGGATCTCTCAATAATGCAAGAAGAATAAATAGCAATGCTCTGCTGATTCGCATGGGAGTTTCATACAATTATCCCATTATCCAGCCTTAACAGGGCCCCCTACGATACCGATTGTGATGCCCATGTATCCCTAGGCTCCCTAGCACAGAGCTATTCTGAAATGCACTAATTAAACCGAACACCCATGCCAATATCCCTACGTACCCCCATAATATACCCCATATTCCCGTATATATTCCTCTATACCCCTAACACAGTAATCGTAGTTTCCATTCCATGTTCCAGTTTCTTTTCCACTTGACTCTCCATTATGCCTAAACCCTAAACCCTAAAACCTGAATCCAGACCCTGAACCCTAAACCCCAAAACTCTAAGCCCTAAACCACATCCGAGGTTCCTGGACGTCCTGGATGCTGCTGAAAGTAAGGCCCCGCCGGTCAAAACTGGTTGAGGCCATAAAGACCTGGAACTTGGGTCAATCCCCCACTTTAGGGTTTAGGGTTTAGGGTTACCACAAAGGACTATTGTAGGTATGTTAAGGCCCAATTAACTCAATAGTTAGGGGCTATTACTGTAAGGGGGAGGGCAGCCTCAGGGGGAGAGCTTCTGAACATTTTAGGGGGTAGGGTTTTGGATTGAGGGTTTTGGGTTTTAGGGTTTTAGGCTTCAGAGCTTTGGTTTTAGGAGGGTTTAGGAGGAACCCCTTGGGACCCTTGGTGTGCATAGGGATTCTGAATCTTTTCCAGGGATTATACGGGATTCGTGCTGAGAAGCTGCCACATGAATGCTTCCCAAAGGTACCTGTGAGAGTGTCTTACAAGGCCCCCGAAACCCTAAACCAGCACCTCTCAAAGGTCACCTTTCGCTCTATTTGAAGTACCCGATGTATGAGTACTTATCCCTGCAAGCCCTGTATAATTCCAGTTTCCATTTCATGTTCACTTGATTCTCTATCATTCTATCCCTGAGCCTAAAACCTATCAATCATCGGGGCGCCAGCAGGGTAGGCGTGGGGGCCTTATAACAATCAACTTTTTACGGCTTTATGCGGATTCTGTAGGAATTAAGGGTAATAAAGATTAAAGACTATTTTCCAACCTACCCCTGGCATGTAGGGGTTTAGGATTCAGGGTTTAGTATACCGTTCCTTCAGAGCCTGAAGAGCAGCCATCATTAGGGGCCAAAGCTCAGGGGCCTACATGATAAGGAAGAAGCAATGGACCAGCAAAGGGAAACTGGAATGAAACTGGGCTTATATCTCTTGGTTTGCAGGAATTGGAGGCTTCATAAGGTTGATCGAGGAATTATCTTGACAATTTTTCAAGTGTCCACATTATCTTGGGCGCCCTCATGTTAGGGCCACCTCGTACAAACATTAAGGTTCCCCTCTTAGTTAAGGCTATTTGAGGACAGTAAGGCTCATCAGAGGGAACGTGGGCAGTACAGGGGGCTTTAGTAGAGAGACCCGCGAAAACCGCTAGCTTCAAGATTAAACTCCTAAATTAGGAGTTACAATACAGGCGCCCCGAAATGCACCCCCCCAAGGTTTAAGGAGCTAATAAGGACTGTTTGGTGCTTAATGAGGCCTAATAGGGGTTCAAATTGGGGGGCGTGCACATGTGGGGGGGCAGTGGGGTGTAGATTTCTGACTTGAAACTATCTATCCCTATAACGGAAGGCAGTGGCTCAACGGGAACACTTTGTTTCTTGACAAAACCAACCCCTAAACTTGCTTCAAGCTGGCTCACAGGATAGTCGGTTGCGAAAAGATTCCCCGACACCAAGATCCTGCAGCCTGAAATATGGGAGTTTCCCAAAATGAGCGACCCTTTTTGAAGGGGTCCCTATAATGCTTGTAAGTTTTGGGGTCTATATTGGGGTCCCCTCTTTTGGACAACTACGATATTTACCTGTCAAAGACCTCTACAGCAGATCACTTACTTACAGATGCCCCTGCCAAAAGGGAGAAAATCATCTTAGGCTGCAAACACTTTCCTCAGAATAACTCAGATAATACTGACGTCTTGCTCTTACACCCCTCAACCCTAAACCCTGAACCCTAAACCTCATGAGCCCAGAGCTGTCCCTCCAAGCCGGAGATCTTATAACTTTGGCGTGGTTATTACAGCGCAGGTCCCTGAACCCTAAGCCCAAGTATAGTAGAGGGTCCCTGGCCAGAGAGGTATGCTCAGCTCTTAATGATTTTCGGATGATTTTGGCTTTTCAGGGTTTATCATGGATTTTTTTGGTATAACTTGGCTTACACAAATGAATAAAAGGGGGAACCTATACGGGGTAGTATAGGGGGGTAGGGAGAACCCCTGGGTGTACTGCAGGGTTCTCTCATGTTTATTGGGGGCCTTGTTTGTCAGACTCAGCCATCTGTGAGCCGGTTTTAGGGTTTAGGGGTTTGGGGTTTAGGGGTTTAGGGCTTAGGGTTTAGGGCATGCTGCAAGAGACCCATTGTAGAACAGTGGCCTCTGTAGAAGCCTGCCAACCGCCATAACAATGAAACTTTCATGTGTGCCAAGGACTGAGTAAGGAAATCTCAAAGTCTGTACCCTCATTGCTACTATACTACAAACAGATACCCAAAGTACTTGGCACAACTCGAAAAAAGTCCATAGCCTGAAGCCCTCAACCCTAAGACCCTAAATCCTAAACCCCAAGCCTTAAAACCCTAAATCCTGGAGCCCTCAACCCTAAACCCTATTAAGGGGCCCAGCTTAACCCAGCCTCTGCCAGTCTACTGAGCTGGTACGGGATGACCGCAACTCCTGGATAAGAGAGCTGACTTGAAGCTGTTACTATACGGATATGACATTTAGGGTTTAGGAGTTTCCCAAAATTAGGGGTACCTTTTTGGGGGGGTCCCCATAACAAGGACGACAGCATTTTGCTGTCCATATTGGGGTCCCCCTACTCGTCAAACTAGGTACCATGTGAACTATAATATAAACTCCTTAACGGGGAGTATTGCCTACGATGCTAGGAGTTTAGACTATAGCTCATATTGGGATGCTTGAAGCACATGTAAACCATAATACTGTTGATGGATGAAATCTTGCACGACCTAGGGGCCTCAAACTACTGTAATTCCTAGGACTCTAGGGACGTAAGGTTGTGCAAGATTTCCTCCATCAACAGTATTAGCATTTTTAGGGTTTAGGATGTAGGGCTTAGGGTTGAACACTGGAGAATCGCGTGCAAAATGAGAGGAGAAACTCCGGGGACTCTGTGGGTGGTGTCAAAATTATGATCCCTTTTTGCGCACCGTAAATATTGCGTGCCGTGTTAAAATAGGGATCCAAAAAGGGACCGCCATTTTGACAACCACCCATGTAAGAGTTTTCGTAGGAGTAACTTACTGGTGGTTTATAGGGCCATATGATAGCAAAAGAGATGGACACGCCTATATTCTGGGCATTGAAAACTTAGGAGGTTAGCCGGGCATGATGGGACATGGGGTTGCAGGGGTAGAGGGACTGTTATATTGCTATATGGAAGTTATACGGGATAATTTAGGGACTATACAAACTGCAAGGATCCGTTCCTCCCTTCGAACCACCAGCAAGAAACTCTAGGATCTCTAGGCTAGCTCCGCACCCAACAAAGGTTCACAGACATTACATATTCAGGTCCAAGTACGTTTCTAGTCTACTGTAATGAATGGTTCGGGACGAAACCTAAGGCACAATCATATCACCCTCCAAGACTGCGGCCAAGTTACGTCGCAAGGGGTCAGAGGGAGACGATTTAGCCCTCTAGAAAGAGTATAGTGTGGGTTTCCTGGGTTGCTGTTCAGGAACTTAAATTAAATTGCTATAATTGTATTTGCTATGTACCAAGAAAATTTGGTAACTTCAACTAAGTTCCTAAACAGCAACCCAAGTTCAGGAGCTAAGGCGTCTGAAGATTCGGTCATGTCCGTCTTCTCTCACAGGGTTGCTGCTCGTGACTCTGGTCCACGCCGCTCTACAAATTGCAGGTGCTAAGCATTCCGCAGGGAATCTAGCAAATTGTCTTCGCCAGTGGGTGCAATTCCCCTTACCATGTAACATGGCATGTGATTTGGCATTCAGTGCTAAGAAGGGTTGTCGGGGGAATTCCCGCTCCTAGCGCAACAGCACAAGTACTCCCTGCCCCGAGTACTACCACCCCCTTGATAACACATATTCCCGAAATAGTAGCAACGTGTATAAGCCCCAAACCCCAAACCCTATCAGGGGGCCGGGGGGCTATCATTAGGGGAGGTGATTGAAGACGGTTGCTTATAATGCACGGATTCTTCTCCTGCCAAAATCGAAGCAGCCACAACCAGGCGGCCTGACATCCAAACCAAGGCTCCCAACGTGTAGCGACAGCTGTAGTACAATACTGTAAGCCAGAGCCACAAGTAGTAGTAACAATACAAATAACAGAAATGAATTCAATGCATAACTAACATGGAACCGATGGGAAACACTTGCAGAAGGGCATTCGTCTTTACGGGGCCCTTCTGGGGTGCCATGTTAGTTTAAAGAGGTGTAGGGCAGCATAGGTCTCCGTTGCTGGAAATCTGGGAATAGGCCTGTCACCCTTCTGAATACGTGAGCGCGAATTTGCTTGGATCCATGAGATTTTCTCTTGAAAGCATAGATGCAAGGGAAGCGGATATTGAAGAAAAAACATTACCAATATTGTGGTTCTGTACAATCCCAATGTTCATGTCGGTTTCCACGTTCTCCGCCATTTGATTTTCCATTATTCTAGGCCTAAGCCTAAACCCTAATCCCATAGATTGGCCTTGAACGGTGATTGGCGTAATGTCGCCAAAGCCGACAGTGGTCAGTGTTGTAAGGCCGAAGTACAAAGCTGTGAAGAAGTCCTCCAGGGATACTTTGCGGTGCACAAAGCCAAAAACTTCATCCGAATCATACTAAGTAAGAGTTCTACTATTTTGTTATCGACTTGCTTAATTTTCGATGCGCTTAGCGGCTTAGCCCAACACGAATATCAAGTCGTAGCGTGCACTAATACCAAAAACGGACCAGTTTTGCGGCCTCCAAAATTAAGACTGCAGCATGATAGACTGCTTGAACCTGCCTGGCTTGTGTCGTGCGAATTGGGCATACTTAAAGTCTCCTGAATTTCCTGAATCAATGGAAGGGCTTTTGATCAAGCTCGTTTGGGAGTGCCTGCAGTACCGCGGCTACAACTACTTACCCAGACCACTGGGATGATCTGAGCTATAGTCTAAACTCCTTAAAGGGTTATATATAGGGGAGTACGTATGAAAGTATTATACGGGTTAGAAAGGGGGATACTAGGAGTTTGGACTATAGCTCATCTGGAGCGTAGCGCCCCCCTTTGTGGTTCTTCATACTCACAGTGGGTAGTCTGGAGGAACACTCAAAGCGGATCTACTTACAACCCTAAACCCTAAGCCCTAAACCCCAAATCCCTAAGCCTAAGCAGAGTCTTGCCAAGTACTATGTTTTGGCCCCACTCCGGGAACTGTGGGTTCAGTTCGTGCTCCGCCGCATAGATGGCCCCTGATGATCTAGGGTTGTAGGGTTTAGGGTTTTAGGGTTTAGGGCTCAGGGTTGTATGGTTTAGGGTTGGGGGTTTTGGGTTTAGGGCCCAGGATTGTATGCTTTAGGGTTGGGGGTTTTGGGTTTAGGGCTTCGTGCTTCGAAATGTCGCTTAGAGTGCGCGCAAAGTTGGTATCTATAACGGCTAAGATGGAAAGAGCAATAACGAGAAACACATGTAAACGGGAGTTGTGATGAATAGGAATCGTCGATATAGCCTGCAAGAGTTTACTTAGATCAAGCGAGAGTTCAGCTTTTGCAGCATCCGTAGGATGTTTTGAACCATGTGCAACTCACGTAGCTTCCCACTCAATTTGATCCCTTCCTCCTAATAATAGCTCCGTTATCCCACTGATAATGGCTGTTCCCAAATGCCATTGCATGTCGGGGACATGAGGTAGTTTCTATGAATAGGGGACCTCAACGAAGACCCAACCAAACTGTAAGCCTCACTACTGGGACCCCAAGAGGAATCCCTAAACCCCAAACCTAAACGCTGTCACTAAACCCTACGCGCTAATCCTTAAACCTTGAACCCTAAACCCTAAAGCTATACCCTGTATCCTGTTGGGGTGGATAGGGGGGTATTTGACAAGGCGGTTATCCAGATCCCTTCAGGCTTCACCCCTTTAGGGCTTTAGGGTTAAGGGTTTTAGGGGTTGAGGGTTTAGGAATAGGATTTCAGGGTTTTAGGATTTAGGATTGTAGGTTTTAGGGTCTAGGGACCACGCAGCTGCCTGTAGCTGTGTACAGCAGCGTGAAGACAGATAGCAGCACTCGCGTCACCTTATCCGCTGTGGGCTGTGCGGCAGTTTCTCTCCACCAAAGATTAAACAGCAGTCTGTCCAATAACCACCCCAAACCCTAAACCCTAAAAGGGATAAGTACTGGGCCCTACCAGCAAGCCTGGACTGTGTTATGTGAAGAGTTTGCCAGAAAAGCCACCCCTCTTGTCAGAGGCTCACAGCCAAAATACGTGGATAGAGGCCCAATTCTATGGTTGGATCTATGGGCTCCTAGTATGGGCCCTTAATCCTGAGGTCTTTATATATTCGTTATGTATCCCCATGTATCCCATGATGCCTTACAAAGCAATGAGGGGCTCATAGATAGGACCCAGGAAACAAGCCGGGGCCCATATTACGGGCCCATAGCACCTATACAACCCCATGTTCCATGTCCCCTTTCCATTTGATTCTCCATTATTTGGATAGTATCCCCATAAACCGTAACACAATAGCTTCCGTTTTCTTTTTCACTCCCTGCCATATCTCCCCAATTTGTAACCCCTGTATGAGCCACAGCCTGAACTCCTAGTAGCCTCCTTAAAAACCCTTATAATATTCCCCTATATAATCCCCTGTATAACCCCCTTTAGGACCTTAGACTATGTCTCATAAATCGACTGATGTTGCCAGGTCTCTTCGAGCTGGACAGGGGTGACATACTTTGGGTCGATGCCCAGGCCTCGAGGAGGAAAAACACATGGTTGTAAAAGAATTTTGGTAACCCCAACCTTTGTAAGAATGACATTACTATAATCGTATGCTTATCATAGGGTTCTGCAGTTTTGATTGCCGTAGGCCAAATTCTCGTTGTTGAATGGTCCATGTTTGTAGCTTTTTGTAGCTTTGGCTGGCTAAGAGGCAATGCGTTGGCTGACCTAGCATCCTAGCATGTATACTTCAAGTACGAAAGCCCCAAACGCACAAGCCATGAGGAGACTGGTAATGACTGGTATTCCCATGCGAGTCCTCCATGATACGCGTATGTACTGCTTTTTGACGTCAACTGTTGACGCATGCCCGTCGGCATTTCTACCTGCTTCTGATGCCTGCGTCCCTACCCTCAACCCTAAACCCCAAGTCCCTGCCCTCAACCCTAAACCCCAAGTCCCTGGTTCTTGTGCCCGCACCCAGCCCCAAAGCCCCCGCTTGTGTGGCCAACGCCCGCACCAGCCCAAACAAAAAGTGGTCCTAAACCCTAAACCCCAGAAGCAAGCCCTAAATCCTAAAGGTGCAAAGTGATTCTCTATTACGATCACTCTTACTATGACTAATGGGGTTTAGCGTTCAAAGTAAGGTTTAGGGTATAAGATTTAGGGTTTTCAGTTCTTAGGGATTGCGTCAGGCTCCTCTCAAAATGGCCCTCTAAATCGCCTGGAACCCTGGCAGGAATTACAATTTCAGACGGTTCTTGGGAGTCTAGATCGCAGAGCTGAAGAAATAATGTAGTTACTTCCATTGTCTTAGCCATTCCCACTCTGCATCCCTATCTAATCCCTACATACTCCCTGTATCGTAACCTTAAACCATACACTTTAAACCAGTAACCCAAACCCTCAAGCCTGACCCCTATATTAAAAGGAACTTCCAAGGCCCACCTTGAGTCGCAAGTGTCAAAAAGCCATCGTAGTCTTGCAGAAAGCGCTGAAGGCGAAACACGCGCAGAAGCCTGAGTGGGTTTAGGGTTTACAGTCTTCTGGGGAGTTTCCAAAAATTAGGGGCCCTTGCAAAGGGGTTACAAAGGCATATCTGTATATGTGTATATCAAATTTTATATATCGGTCACGTGGATGCATGGGGTGTAGGTCTATGGTTTGGAAAAAGAAAGATGTCCCTTTCCTGGACTTCCTATAATGAGGCGTGTAGTATCTTGAACCTTGAGGTCCCTATTTCCTAGGTCCTAAACCATATACTTGGTACACAGCCGCGACATGATTGAGGCCCCCCTATGGAAACTCTAACATGAAAGCAAATCAAAGTACAGAGAACGCCAGGGAATTAGCCAACCAGTTGGCATCTTTACTTACAACCTGGCGTAGGGTTTATGGCTAGGGTTTAGGGTTTGAGGCTTAGGGTTAATAGGCTGTGCTGGACTTATTGGTGTACTAGGAACTGGCGAACCAATCCTCATGCCGCAGCTTGGCATTTTGACATGTTACAGCCCCCCCGTTTGGACGCTTAGACGTTTGCTGCCAACCAGAACCCTAGGCCCAGAACCATTGTCAAAAAAAAGGTTGGCTGGCGCAAACAAAAGTCTCGGACCACGGCACAGCATGAAGGTAGACCCAGAGAAAAGCGCGTGGCAAGATAGTGCTCAAGCAAAAGCCTAGCACAACTCCATATTCATGATTGTATACATATATATATATATACAAGTGTTACAACGTATGGCCTCAAACAGTTCAGCATGTCAGGTATGAACAGTAAGCTTCATCAGCAAGTACACTTTTAGGATTCTAGTAAGTATCGCCTAAGATGTAGCTCCTCATGTACCCCGAAATAAAATCAAAGAATCGTTTCATAAGGCCCCAGGAGGGGAACTATGATAGTGAGATACCCCACTGTTTATTACACTTGGAAAGCTCCCAATCTGGTCCCCTCCACACCCATGCAATCCCCAATCTCCACAACTACCTCACTAATGCCCCACCGGTGTCCCGGACAAAAATGACATAACTCACGAGGGTTGTTCTGAGAAGCCCTAAGCCTTAAACCCTAAGCCCTAAATCCTAAACCCTGTCCTCAAGAAGCCCTAAACCCTAAGCCTTAAACCCTAAGCCCTAAATCCGAAACCCTGTCCTCAAGAAGCCCTAAACCCTAAGCCTTAAACCCTGAGCCCTAAATCCTAAACCCTGTCCTCAGATTTTTCAGCTCAAGGGCCGGACGCCAGCAATGACCGCAGCCATCGTGTCTGAGCAGCAAGACGTACTCTAGGGTTATATATAGGGATAATGGAAAAGAAATGGAAACTACTGTAGTGGGTTAGGAGTATATAGGGTACATATCGAAGAAGCCATTATAACGGTGTTCAGAGTATAGGTTTAATCGCTGGGTTGCTGTTAGGGAGCATAATTAAGTCACCATATCACCGGTGTATAGTAGATAACAGGGTTTCCTTCTTTTGCTAAGTTAGTTGAAGTTCCTTCACAGCAACCCAGATAGCTAATAGCAACATTTTAACGTCTACGTGAAGTACACTTTACCAAAATCATACCAGGCATCTAGAACGGTAATGTTGGCGACTATGAAGGCTCCTATAGTCTAAACTCCTAGTATCCCCCTTCATAATCACTATCATAGTCCCCCATATAACCCCCCTCTAAAGGAGTTTAGACTATAGCTCATTTGTTAGGGCTGCTTTCGTACTTGCGAGCATGAGGCATAAGGGTGGTTGTCAAAATTATGGCTCCTTTTTGGTACCTATTATATTACGGCACCTGAAATTTAGGGCACCCAAAAAGGGACCATCATTTTGACAACCACCCAATAAGGGCATAAGGGCGTCGGGTTTGAGGTAATCAGGGTCTGAAGCTTCTGGTTCAGGGGCATCGCCCAGTCCAGGGTTCAGGGTTTAGGGTTTGGGGTAATAACAGCAACCTAAATCTAAACCCTAAATCCCCATATTCTAGCAGCAACCTAAATGTTGGGACTATGCCGTGCATGTCTTGAATCTTGAAGTTAGATCCATGCACTTGTCCAGGAGATCTGAGCCCTAGTCTCAACTCCTAGCATCCCCCTTGCCAAGCCCTATAACTGTCCGCTATATAACCTCCTCTATAACCTCCACCCAGAATCCAGTTGTTCACCTGGGAGGTATATTGGGGTGAGCCTTCGCCGTGGTAACTTCACACACAACGTTGAGGCAATCGCATGGAAGGGAAGGGAATCTGCCTGCAAATCTTAAAAACCCGGACGAACTCCTGCAACCATGCGATGATGCGGCTCAGTGCGCATGTTAGCCTAGTCCCAGGTTGTTTGTCTTAAAGTCGTGAGTCTCCCTCAAGGGTGCTTTTACAAGAAATCTCACAGAAAGCCATCCTTATCTCTTCGAATCTGCCAAGTCAGAAAACACAAATAGTGGTTTCCGAAAATGAGGGGTACCTGTTTAGTGGGTCCCAATAATAAGGATTATAATATTTTGGGGTCTAGATTGGGGTCCCCTTAATTTGGGAAACTTCCAAATTGCAGAAAGATGACCTCGCCCGCGCAAGAACAAAGCCCTGTGCCTGATTCAGTGATGCCCATCAGGCGGAGCAACAGCGGGGTGAAGGCGAGGATGTCAATTATGACCAGCCTGAGCTTCTCCGACCCCCTAGGGGTTTAGGATTTAGGGGTTAGGGTTTAGGATTTAGGGTTTAGGGTTTAGGGATCCCAAAAATGGAACCCCCCCAATATGAACCCATTACTACATTGGGAAACTAGGGATTATTACGGGGTTCCGTTTTTTGGATCCTTTAGGGGGTCTGGGTTACTACGGGAGGGATAGAAAAGCAGCTGGAAGCTACGATATGCTTGGCCACGAATGGAGGAACCAATCCCAATAGTAGCTCTGTATTCCGCCAAAATGTAATAGCTTTTCGTTACTTCATTCCCTTCTTTTTTAAAAAACAACCAGCATGTGAGTCGAGGTAGGTCAATCCTTTACTCAGACCATACAGCAAGTACATGGAATCCACAACGCAAGAAAAGCTTCGGGAAGGAGAATCCACGCATTGCTCGTAACGAATGCAGCTTTTATACCCTCCAAGGGTAGGATCCTTACCACGCCGATGTCTTATGCAAACGGATTCGCAGCTTTCAGACACTTTGGCCCGCTAATCCTAAACCCCTAAATCCTAAACCCCTAAACCCTAAACTCTTGAATCCTAAGCCCTAAACCCCTAAACCCTAAACCCCTGAACCCATAAATCCTAAACCCCTAATCCCCTAACCCCTAACTTCGTCTGCCAACCCTAAACCGCGTCCATGGGACGGCTTGAGGATGTAGGTCGGCCGAAGCGAGCGTGAGTACCACCGGCATGCAAACTCGATCATGAACACCATGCAGATCCTGGGCCCGTAGGTTTAGGGTTTAGGGTTCAAGGTTTAAGGTTCAAGGTTTAGGGTTTAGGTTTTAAGGTTTAGGGCTTAGGGTTTAGGGCTTAAGGTTTAGGTTTTAGGGTTTAGGGTTTAAGGTTTAGGTTTTTAGGGTTTAGGGTGTAGGGTTTAAGGTTTAGCTTTTTAGGGTTTAGGGCTTTAGGGCTTAAGGGTTTAGCAGGGCCTTTAGGCTTTCGGGTTCGCTTGGGCTTTTTAACAAATTACGGCAGGAATGTCCACAGAAAGAGATGACGGAATCGTTTTGGCGAGGCTTTACACTACTCAATGGTCAGCAGTGGTTTAGGGTTTAGGGTTGTGTTATGGTTTCGGCTTTAGGCTTTAAACCCTAAGACCCCCTAAACCCAGAGTTTACCCTCAACCCTAAACCCTAAACCCTCAACCCTTACCCACCCCGGGGTTTGGGGCCAAGGCTCCCATTCTCCAGTGCGGCCAGCAATATCCTCATGTCTTCCCAGCCTGCGGGAGTATATCAGGAGTTATATTAGGGATTAGGGTTTAGGGTTTAGGGCTTCAAGAAAGATACGGCTGGTGACGCAAGGCTACTGTTGATACCAGGGCTAAGGGCTTAGGGTTCTAGGGTTCTAGGGTTTAGGGTTCTAGGGGTTGGGGTTCTAGGGGTTAGGGTTCTAGGGTTTAGGGTTCAGGGTTCTAGGGTTTAGGGTTCTAGGGTTTAGGCTAACCCTGCATGACCATAAGCACCTCATACCTTGGGGATTTGGGCACTCTAGTTGAAACCCTAAACCCTAACGGGGTCCTGCGGGTTTTTTCTATATCAGAAACAACCCCATGGCAGCCCGAAGTTTCCATTTCATGTTCCGTTTGCCTCTAATTTGTTGGTGTAATAACCTTCTGAAACGTGCGTAGGCATTTGATTTCTTCTAGTTTCCCGCCAAACTGTCGTATCAAGCTTGGTGCTATCACCACCGCCACCACGACCCACCGCCACCACCGGTACAGCTGCCCACTACACCTTCCTCAATCCTTAACCTCTCGTGGCTCACACCCTAAACCCTAAACCCCAAACCACACCGATATAATCCCTAAATAAGCACTACAATCCCTGTACATTCCATTTTCTTTTCCATTATCCCTATAAAGCCCATCTAAACTTTTCGTGGCTCAAACCCCTCTACCCTAAACCCTAAACTACACCCTTAACCCTAAACCCTAAACCCCAAACTACACCAATATAATCCCTAAATAAGCACTATACTCCCTGTAGATTCCATTTTCTTTTCCATTATCCCTATAAAGCCCATCTAAACTTTTCGTCGCTCAAACCCTAAACCTAAACCCTAAACTACACCCTTAACCCTTAACCCTAAAACCTAGACCCTAAACCACACCCTTAATCCTAAACCCTAAACTACACCCTTAACCCTAAACCCTAAACTACACCCTTAACCGTAAACCCTAAACCCCAAACTACACCAATATAATCCCTAAATAAGCACTATAATCCCTGTAGATTCCAGTTTCTTTTCCATTATCCCTATAAAGCCCATCTATACTTTTCGTGGCTCAAACCCTAAAACCTAAACCCTAAACTACACCCTTAACCCTTAATCCCAAACCCTAAACTACACCCTTAACCCTAAACCCTAAACTACACCCTCAACCCGAAACCCTAAACTACACCCTTAACCAAAAACCCTAAACCCTAAACTACACCCTTAACCCTAAACCCTAGACCCTAAACTACACCGGCTGGTGGCCTGGCTGAGCCAGGATGGGAAGCGTCTCTAAAGCCACCAGCAGGGATGACCTTGGATATGCTTGGAAAGGTTTTAGGGGTTTAGGGTTAGGTTTTAGGGTTTGTTTTTAGTTCCCCTTATGTAGATAGAATATGGGGTATACGGGGATCATATTATGATATATCCCAAGGCCATATTCTATCTACTTAAGGGGACAAAAGGGTCTAGGGTTTAGAACTTAGGGTCTAGGGTTTAGGGAGCTCAGGGTAATCATTCATCATGACCCACTTGTATGGGACATATAGAGGTTGTGCTATTTTAGGGGTATGAATGGTTATGTAGGGTTTAATGTAATCATAGGCAAGCTATAGCAATAGTAGTCATCTGAAGTCACCAGAAGAGATGGCATCGGAAAAAGAGGACCGGGGCCAAGTACAGGCGATTTTTCTGGGGTTTACAACGGAAAAAAAAGATTAGTAGGGAGATTCTACAGTGACCCTCAGCCTAAACCCTAAACTCTTCAATTTCTGCCAAGCTGTGGGAATGAGGGAATGGATTATTGTTAGCAGTAAAAAAGATTTCGAACTATTTGGGGGTTATATGGTGTTATATAAGAAAATTGAAGCTGCTATACATTTAGGGTTTAGGGTTTAGGGTCAGGGGGACGTAGCAACAGGTTAATCATGGGGATAACTAGAGTTACTAATTGGGTTCTATGAGTTACTAACTCATTTACGAAGTCCCCTACCCCCAAGTAGAGATCCACTGCCAGGGAGCCCTAAACCCTAAACCCCACCCCCTAAACCCGAAACCCTAAACCATAAATTTGGAGCTCGTCTCTCTCCAGCCTAAAAGATGTCGAGGGTTTAGGGTGTAGGGTGTAGGGTTTAGGGAAGATAGATCCCCTACCATCAGAGTGGCATGTACGGGGGGGTTTAGGCTTTTGGGTTTCGGCTTTATGGAGCCAAGCAAGATTAGCAGTCTTCCTGCAACAAACCATACCCAAAAGGAAGATAAAATCTCACTTTGCATGCTCAGAGTAGCCCCAAATAAACCACCACCCCAAACCCTAAACCCTAAACCTCTGATAGACTGGACTCCTATGGTTGATGCTATAAATCCTGCATGGCCTTAAGTGCCTTCTACCTCGGGAACTGGGGTATTCTGGTATATTACTGTCATATAATTTAGGAACTATGGTATTATAGCCATATACTACTGTCATGCAGGATTCTTAGTATCCACTGTAGAGCTGTAACGTCGCCAGATTAGCCATGTTTCACGTAGAGGCCCGAGCTGCTACAACCATGCAGCAGCTCACTTTAGAGTCCATGGGTGGTTGTCAAAATTATGGTCCGTTTTTGGGTACCTTAAATACAAGGTGCCGCACTATAATAAGGATCCAAAAGGGATCATAATTTTGACAACCACCCACATACTGTGGATGGAGGAAGTCTTGCAATATCTAGGATTCCCACAAGACTGTAATTATTGAGGTACAAGGTACATCAGGTCTTGCAGGATTTCCTCCATCCACAGTGTCGTGCCAGCTTTTACGAGCGTGATGGGGGGTTCTTTGGAAACTTTTCTCTCAGTCCAAAGGAATTACGACTGTACTTAGTTAGGTAACTTGCATCCTGAACCGCAAGCGAGAAGCCCCAAACCCCCAACCCTGAACCGCTACAACTTTGCTTAGGTAGGTAATCTGCATTGCTACATCGGGTTCCCTTCTGCTTAAGCGAAATTCCTCCACCGCGTGGCCCTTCCCCTAGAGCCCCTTTGGACATCCTTGCGGTGGAGGGGTTTCAGGTTTAGGGTTTAGGCTTTAGGGGAACGTAGGGAACCTGATGTTGCGATATAATATAGCGACAATCACGCCGCCACTTCTTATCTCAGCTCTGACTCTTGAATCCTGAGCCTGACACCCCAGTCTAACTAGACACCTTCCCAGGTGACATGCGGAAGTACAATGACTCATAAAGGGAAACTTGGGCTAAAGAACTTAAAGTAGTAAAAGAGCTCTTGCAACCCCAGGTTATATAATGAGGACCATATAAGAATCATATGACGGTCACGGGGTCCTCAGTTTGGGGTTTGGGGTAACCAAAACCAACTTCTTACACCAACTCACCTTGAGAAGAATATACTATAGTTGTTTCCATTGTCTTTTCCATTATCCCTTTTCTAGCCCCAAGACACTATAGTAGTTCCCATTTTCTTTTCCATTATCCCAGCACCCTAAACCCTAAACCCTAAATCCCGAAAAACCCAACCACATGGCCCAGCTGCAGTAGGACACAAACCACTACCATCCTCGGTGTCAAGCTTGGAGATCAATTTAGAGTTTAGGGATTTAGGGTTTGGGGATTTAGGGGTTAGGGATTTAGGGTTTAGGGAGTTAGGGTTTAGGGATTTAGGGTTTAGGGATTTAGGGGTTTAGGGTTTCGGGTTAAGGGTTCAAGGTTTAGGGCTTCCATAGAATTATGGGGACCCTGATCTATGGGATCCAATATGATACAGTCCTTTCCAGAGGGACGCCTGAAAAGGACGCCACATGTTTGAAAGCCTCCAAAACAAAACAGGCAGGCTAGTATTCTGACAATTCGACGTCCACAGCAGTTCCAGATCGGCAGCTGCTACAGATACCTCCAACGCCATAATAACTCAAATGAGTGCGGCTGATACAGCTGCTCACTTCTACTACTGCGACAAGGACTAGGAGGAGATCGTGGAGGTGGATGGGGAGAGGGAGGGGGAGGAGAGGGGAATGGAGGAGAACGGGAGGAGGGACTTGAGATAGTAGAAGGACGGGCGCGACAACCACAGGATGCTGGGCGCTTGGGTACTTAAATCCAGTTTGTTGTGCCAAAGCTCTTGTGCGAATTGATATAGGGGGATTATGTAGGTATTAGAATAGTGATCCACTCCCCCACATTCCCTTAAGCACCAGTCAGCCCATGTACACCCTCCAACAGGGACCTGCATAATTCCCTCCCCCTATATTAAAAGCCCTCCCTCTAGTATTATACTAGTATTATATACTCCCCTTTGGCGGTATATTATAAACATACCGGGAGTATTTAATATTAGAGGGAGGGCTGGGTGGGGGGTCTAATAAAAGGGGGTGGGGATTAAGTCTCTTGTGATCCACATAGAGCCTTAGGGTCCCTGGGCGGTCCTCCATGTTGAGAAATAGGGTTTGCCGGTTTGGGCTTTGGGGCTTAGGGCTTAGGGTGTAATGTTGAGGCTCAGGGCTTAGGGCTTAGGATTTAGGATGATTTAGGGTTTCAGTGTTTTTTCTTTAGGTCTTAGGGTTTAGCGTTTAGGCCTTAGGATTTAGGGTTTACGGTTTTAGTGTGTAGGGTTTAGGGCTTAGGGCCTAAAGTTTAGGGCTTATGGTATGCACTTGTGTGCAGCAAACCCGGCACAAACTGACCTAGCATCCGCCACTCTCAGAATTTGCAGCGGTAAAGTGTCTGCGTGAGGGTCGGACACATCCTGATGCTAAAGTTGAAGCTGACTCATGTTGGAGGCATCATGCAGTGTGTAAAGCTTCATTTCCAGAACCTTAAAGCCTAAACCTTGTACATGGGGATCATGTTCCCTACGTTCACTCACCCACTCACCCTCAAGCACCAGTCAGCCCTAGATCCTAAACCCTGGACCATTTTGAGAAATTCCGACTTGACGAAGCCTGCATCCAAGGATCAACTCCACCACTGGCTCGGCTAACACTTCCTCCGACAAGGGGACTTGGGTTTAGGGTCTAGGGTTTAGAGTTTAAGGTCTAGGGTTTAGGGTCTGATTGTTGAGGCTTTTGCTGAGTATTAACCCCCTCCTACAAATGATGCATTTTCCCTCACCCCCTCAGAATAAATACTCCGACAAACATAGAATGGTACTATATGGTAGTTTCCTTAAACAGGGGTACCCCAGTAGACCCCCAAATACTATAATCCCTATTATGGGGACCCCAAAAAGGTACTCCTAATTTTGGGAAACCCCCATATTGGAGGTTTGATTACGGGCCGGGGTTGGTGGATATATCATTACGAGTGCGTCAGCGCGGGGGCCTGCTTTCCTTGTCGAAGAGGCGCTTTTTGCTAAGTTATGTGGCTAGGCTTGCACTTGCGCATCCAGCAAACTGCCTTTACCTGAATTTCGGTTTTGCATATCCACTTTGTTAACATGGTTTCAGAAAAATCGCATGTCGACCTCTACTATACAGGCTCTCCCCGAGGTCTATATTGTCCATATTCAGATTCCTACTCAGATGTTCTATGACATCAAAATATTTCTATTGGGCTGAAAACCTTTCAAGTAATAGTCGGTGACTGGTTTCTGCACAAAGTTTGGCAATATGGCAGAGGTATAAAAAAAGGCGCTGCAAAAACAACTAAACCCTGACGGATACATGTACTATAGTCTTAACACCTTAAAGGGGGATATCTAGGGGATTATATAGGGGACTAGTATAGGCATTATTAAGGGGGATACTAGGAGTTTAGTGATTGCTACTACGGTGGATGGAGGAAATCTTGCACCATCTACATAATAGGCATCTTCCATGATCTCACAATGCATCCCCGCACCGCCTTTTTAACGTTGACAACTGTTCTGTCTGAGGCGGTGCAAGATTTCCGTCATTGGAACAAATTTGCTTCTGGAGGCTTTCAATGCCAATGTTAAAAAGGGGGTACGGGGCTGTAAGAAATCTGCGTTGTAAAAGCGGTGCAAGATTT